TATAACCGTCTAGTACTGCATAAATGGAAAGGAGCTTCCTGGAAGAAAGGACAAAGATTTCATATGCTCAAGAGGGTTTTATTAATATTAGCTTTTATTTTCATAAAGGAAAGATATCTCTTGCTGATATAAATACTAAATTATAGGCATGTGTTTGATTCGTCTCATCAAATGAGTTAAGGAAGGCACAATCTACCTGACCCAAGGCCTCCCAGAACAACAGTACAGAGTCACTGAAGGATTTTGAATGAGGAATTGATTTGGTCAGACTTATGTTTTAGAATGATAAATCTAACAACAGTATATAGTGTGTCTTGGATATTAGAAGTGGGAGAACAGTTAGTAGGCTATGAGAATAACAAAGATAAGAGGTAATGAAGGCTAGAACTAGAGTTACTACGAGAATGGAGAGGAAGGCAAAGAGTGTAAGAGATTAAAAAAAGTAGAATCAGTTGCACTTATTTGATATAGGGGTTAAGGAGTAAAAATGACTGAAATTTTGAGTATAGCTGATTGTGTTAAAGGTGATGCCTTTAACAGAAATCATGTTTCAGTTTTGGATGAATGAGGTTGAAATATACAGAGTAACCTGGATATTTGAGTTCTAGAGCTAAAAAGAGAAGTTCAGGTTAGAAGAATAGATATGGTAGTCCTCATAGAGGGACTGGGTAAAGTCATAGAGTAGGGTAAGATCACTAGAGTTTAGAGAAAATGTAGTCAAGAATAGAGACTTGGGGAAATGCCTGTCTTAAAAGAGGGCAAGGGGGGAAGACCCAGTAAAAGAGACATAGAAGTAATCAGAGAGAAAGGAAAACCAGGTAAGGATAGCTTCACAGAAGTCAGGATATACCTTATGGCTAAAAAAGATAAGGGCCCACAATAGAGAAGAAATCAAAGATTTTTTTGAATCAAAGATCTTTTAAAGTTCTATAACAAAGCATAATTTCAGTTTAATAGAACAGTTAAAGGCACTGTGCTAGGTGCTGGTGATACAAAGATTTTTTTAAATGACAGTTCCTTGCTCTCTGGAAGTTATGCTCTACTGAGTAAGAGGTATATATAAGAGGTGATCTATCAGGGGCAAAGGTGAGATCTAGACTTGAAGAAAATTTGAGGAAGTAGAAATGACCTGCAGCTGGGAAGATTAGGGAATATTTCATGGGTAAGGGGCATGGACCTGAGCTGCGCCTTGAAAGAAAATAAGAATTTTAAGAACCAGAGGTGAAAAGAGTACATCCTAGGCATAGGAAACTTCCTGTGTAAAGCAGGAAAAGCCTGGTTGACTTTGGAGAATAACTATCAGTCCAGTTTATCCTAAATATTGAGTGAAGGGAATGATTTTAAATAGGGCTGGACAAGTAGGTTGAAGTCAAATTATAGGAACTCTTCAGTTTTAGGTTAAGCAGTTTGTATATTATTTTAGAGACAGGAGGGAGTCACTGAAGGTTTTTTGAGGAGGGTGATGTATATGTGACATGGGCAGACCTGTGGCTTAGGAAGTTGGTAGCTCTGTGAAAGATGGGTTGGACAGAGGAGAACCTGAATTTAGAGAGAACAGTTAGGAAACAATTACAATAATCGAGGCCTAAACTAGGATAGTGACAGTGTGAATGAAGAAAAGAGAACAGATATGAAAAATTTCATGGAGGTAGAATTCATCTAACGATTTGGTAGTTAATGGGTCAGTGGGGGCAAAGGGTAAAAGAATAATAGCATATGTATGTGACATTTTAATATTTTCGAAGTGCTTCACATACATACCTAATGTAAGCCTCACAGTAACCCTGTGAGGAAGGTACTATAGATATTATATCCGCATTTTGCAGATGAAGAAACTGAGGCTTAGAAAAGTTGAATGATTTGCCTAAGATCACACAGCTGGCAAGTGGCGAAAGTCAAATTAGAAATCAGGTCTTCTTGTACTACAAGGTCAGAAGGCCCTATTTATTTTGAAGAGAATTCAGTTCATTTTGGACATGTTGAGTTTGAGCTGGTATTGGAACATACCATAAACAGGCAAGTTTGCTGTATGAGAATGGCCTTCCAGGTCAGATTGTTCAGATTTAAGAGTTATTTACATAGAAGTGATCATTGAACCCATGGGAGGGGTTGAGATCAACAAGGGAAGTTGAGAGAAAGACAGACCAGCTAAGGAGCAGTCAGGGTAAAATGAGAATCAGTGGATAGAGTGATGAAAGCTGAGGAAGAAGAGTCTACCTAGAAGGAAGGGTTGGTCAGTAGTGCTGAAAAGGTCAAAGAGGATCTTAAATAATCGCTTTAGAACTGGATGAGACGTGGAGGTCTTAAGGGTAAAGGAGGATCATAGATTTAGAAAGGGAAGGAACCCTAGAGCCATCTAGTCCAACTCCCTCTTTTTACAGATGAGGAAATTGAGTCCTAAAGACATTAAGTGGCTTGTCCAGTCACACAGCTACTAAGTAGAGAGAAGAAACCAGGTTCTCTCACTCTTGGTCTAGTGTTCCTTCGACTGTACCATGAGGAATGATGAAAGCAATTAAGAGGTTACCCTTGCAAAAGCAGTTTCAGTAGACTGGTGGTATTAGAATCTGGACTGCAAGGAATTGAGATGAAAGAGGTAACATAGAGTGGAAAAGACCATTGGATTTGGACTTAGGGTACTTGGGTTCAAATCTTACCTCTCTCATTTACTATCTGTTGTAACTTTGAACAGATTAAACTCTTTGGGCCCCAGTTTCTTCAGAATAGGGTCTAGAACTACTTAGTGCTCTAAAATCCTTTCTAACTAGCAAGACACAGAAGGGAAGACAGCAAGTGTAAATGCCTCTGTGTAGAAGTATGATAACAAAAGGACCCACATGTACAAAAATATTTATAGCAGCTCTTTTTGTGGTGGCAAAGAATTGGAAATTGAGGGAATGCCCATCAGTTGGGGAATGGCTGAACAAGTTGTGGTATATGAATGTAATGGAATACTACTGTGCTGTAAGAAATGATGAACAGGCTGACTTCAGAAAAACCTGGAAAGACTTGTATGGTCTAATGCTGAGTGAAGTGAGCAGAATCAGGAGAACATTGTACACAGTAACAGCCACATTATGGGATGACTGACTTTGATAGACTTGGCTCTTCACAGCAACTTAAGAATCTAAGATAACTACAAAAGATTCATGGTGGAAATTGCTGTCCACACCCAGAGAAAGAAATATGGGGTCTGAATGCAGATGGAAGCTTACTATTTGCTCTCCTTTTCCTTTGTTTTGTTTTATTGCTTCATTCTCATGGTTCCTCTCATTAGTTCTGATTGTTCTTTACATCATGACTAATGGGAAAATATGCTTAACATGAATGTATATATAGAGCCTATGTCAGATTGTACACTGTCTCAGGAAAGGGGGGAAGAAATGGGTGGGGGAGAAAATTTAAAACTTAAAATGTTATAAAAGTGAATGTTGAAAGCTAAAAATAAATAAATTTTAAAAAAATAACAAAAGGGATGAGTGGATGATGGGAAAAAGGGATAAAAGCCTAAAGGGATTTTTTTACAAATAGGAATTACAGTCAGGTCCTCCTGACTTCAGGGCCGGTGCTCTATCCATTGTGCCACCTAACTGCCCCTTTGAGGATTTTTTCTTAAGGTTTTTTGTTTGTTTGTTTTGGGTTTTGGTGGGTGGGGTGAGAGGCTATGGAGTGCCTAGTCAAGGGGCAGTAGTGGAGGGAGAAAGCACAGTACTGTACAATAAAGTTAACATAGATGTTTTTTGGAATGCAGATGCCTTTCAGAATTTTTACATAAAGTCAAATTTGTGTAATGTGAATTTACATAAAGTGAGAACAGTCTATATACCAGTATGTTTTGAGTAGCCAGGAAAGGGGCCCTTTTAGGAGAGATTAAAGAGGAGATATTCCATCTCCTGGCTCTTGACATTCATAGATGTTGTCCCCAATCCTGGCAGATGGCCTACCAGGAAAAACTTAATAGAGTAAGGGGGCCCCAGATTCTAATGAGAATGTGGGTTTAAAGAAGCCTCTGTTTTAGTATCTTCCTTGTTTGGCCTTCTTGGTTGATTTCATTGGGGCTGGGAGGGCCAAAGACTACAGTGGCCAAGAGGGTCCTGAGATGAAGATGCCCTCTGTGGGTGGTGTCTTCCAGGTAGAATCCCATCAGTCTGCTATAGTAGGTGAGGGTTGGCCCTAAGGTGACGGAGGCCTCTGTAGTTTCCATTTCTATTTCCCTGTCCTTCAGTTGACTCCAGTGGGAGAAGGAAGCAGCAATGCCTGTGGTAGCTTGAAGTTTAAAATTTAAATAAGCCTCTGTGGGGCATTTTGTGCCTTATTCATCATGTCGGATGTTTCTTCCTGTGATACAGATCACAATCCATCCGTCCCTACCAATCTCATGTAACTCTTGTCTTTGTCCTCCCATTAAGTTTGTCAGGAGATCATCCAACATGTGAAGGGCCTTCCTTACTTTTTCCATACATCTCTAGGATGCCTAAAGAGCACTAGTAGTGATCACTGGAATCAACCTGGATTCACTGAGAATGAGTGACCCCTCCTCCATTGCCTCACTTATCAACACTTAAACTGTTCTTTAAGCTTTGAGGCAAAGTTCTTGGTATAAAATGTAATTTTAGTTGTAAAATGAAAGGGACTGCTGTCCTGAATGAAACCTCCTTAACATAATGTAAGCTTTAGTGATAGATGTGTTAACAAAGCCCTAATTAATAATTTTCTAACTATTCTGGCTCTGATAGTAATTCTAGTGCTGGCCTTTGGAGGTGACTTCTGTATTAACTATTAATGGGAACAAAATGCCCCTTACTGAAGCAAGACCTGGGTGAGGAAGGACTATACCTTATTTCAACCGTATTTCTGCAAACATACTAAAATTTTCACTAAGGAGCACACATATCCATATGCAAGCTATTTGCCACGTTAATCATCTTCAGCTGTCTTGGGTGTTGCTTTTAATTTCCCTAAGTACCAATGCATTTATTGCTTTTTATGCCCCACTTTAGGTCATTGGAATGCACTACTTTTCTCCCGTGGACAAGATGCAGCTACTAGAGATCATCACAACAGAAAAAACTTCCAAGGACACAGTTGCCTCTGCAGTTTCAGTTGGTCTCAAGCAGGGGAAAGTGATCATTGTGGTTAAGGTAACAGGATTTCATATAACTGCATGTTCTGGAAAGGTATCATGTGACCCTTTCCTTCAACTCACAATAGATAATAAAAATAATGATAATTATTATTATCATCATTAATAATCATGTCTTACATGCATACATCACTTTATAGTTTGCCAACCACTTTCACATCCTTCTTCTCATATGGTCGTCATAACAACCCTTTGGGGTAGGCAGAGCGCTATTATCCCTATTGACAGATAAAGAAACTGGAGTTCAGAGGTTGAGAATTTCCCAAAGTCATACAACTAGTAAGTGATAGAATGTGATTAGATTCTAGGGCTTCTGACTTTTAGTCCTATGTTCTTTCCATTATGATATCCTGCCCTTCTTTGCAAATATGAATAACCAGAAGAGTAAGCCTTCTTTGGTATCATTTCTTCCCCCTTGGCTGTCATCATCACCTAGTCTTCTGTTCCCCTTCTAGGTATTTGTCAGATAGGTAATTAATAGTACCATGCCTGAGGAGCAAAACTAAAGTCAAGTTCTTCCCCAGAACAGGGCTTACTACTGCCCTGCTTTTCTTGGAGAATGTCTCTGTTTTTACAGTTTAGTTTTAAAGCCAATTTGACATTAAGAGCAAAGGACATCTTAAATTTTAAAATGATTCCTGAGTTAGGGGCAGTTAGTTATTTAATACTTCAGTAATATCAGCTGCCAGGGTACTATTGAATTTTTCTGTTCTTTCATTTGGCAGGATGGACCAGGCTTCTATACTACCAGGTGTCTTGCACCCATGATGTCTGAAGTCATCCGAATTCTACAGGTTGGTGTTACCTATTAAAACATTTCTAGGATAAACTTTTTATTCCCTTAACTAGTCCTGCAGAACTTCAAACCTAATCCTAATCCTTATTGTATTGATACAGACATAGTGGAACATAAGCTCCCTTTCCATGGCTCTTTTTGTACCATTGCATTTGCCTTGGGTAATGGGAGGTCCACATCCTAAACTAGGAGAAATTGGGCTTCAGAGATTACTCTGTGTCCACTGCAGAGAAATAGGCCTTTGGGTGTAGGGCACTTTTTGTCTGAGGTGATTCCTCACCTGACTAGTCCAGAGGCTTCTTCCCTGGTGGTTGTACGTGGTATGAATTGGTAGGTAGAGAGATGAGCCTACTAACATATTCTAGGCACTTAACTGGTCATTGAGTTTTGTGGCATTGTTTCTGTGCCCTCTTTTCTCCTCCAGTGGATTTCAGCCAGTGCTAAGACTCCAAAAAGAGGGCAGGAAGGACAACTTTTTTCCCTTTCCAAAGGCTGCGTGCCCATCAGGCCTGTGGCCTCAGTTGTGCTTTGTGCCCTCTGTTCTCTCCATGATGCACATTGATTGTCATGATAGCTCCTTTCTTTCTTTTACAGGAAGGTACTGAGCCCAAGACGCTGGACACCTTGACTACAAGCTTTGGCTTTCCTGTGGGTGCTGCCACACTTGTAGATGAAGTTGGTGTTGATGTAGCTCAGCATGTATCAGAAGAACTGGGCAAAGCCTTTGGGGAACGCTTTGGTGGTGGAAACCAAGAACTGCTGAAACAAATGGTTAACAGAGGTTTCTTGGGTGAGTTGCTCAGCTAACCGTAAGTTTCCCAAGCAGTCTTAAGATAAAGGAATTACAGGGGACCTAAATGGAATAGATGGGTTGTTAAAGATGGAATCAAAGATTGGGTAAAATTCGAAAAATGGTTCCATGAGAAGCTGTATTTGGTGGTAACTCAAAATCATCTTTTGTCTACCTAGCCAAGGGGCAGGCTGCTGTACTAAACCATAATGCCTTGAAGTAGTTGGATAAATGTTTGATTTGCCATCATCTGATGCATTTACATGCACATTTACATTGTGAATGCTTCTGTAATCCAGCATGAAAAAGAGGTCTCTTTAAGCTTTGTTTAAATTCTCTAGGCATACATGTAAGGACTTAAAGACTAGGACATGACTGAGGCACACTGGATCTGAGGGCCACTGGACAAGTGACTTGTACTGGTGAAGTTAACAAAACAGCTGCAGAACCAGGAAGAGGACCTTGCTATCTGAGGGGCCAACTCTTTGCTTTGAGATATTAAAGTATTAGAAAATCCTAAAGGCTTCACTAATCATCTAGTTATTTTGTTCTAAGTATCTACAAACATCTTAAAATCTTTCTTCTTTCACTAGCTGCTATTCCCTAAGAAGAGATTTCAGCTTTCCTTGGTTAGAAATAACAAATTCAAAAATGGAAAATTAGAATCTCTAACATAGGTACCCTCTAGAATGAAATTCAAATTTTATATTTCTTATGTACTTAACATGCTCGATTTTGTATTATCTGTATGTCTCCTCTCCCCTTCTAGATTATTTTTATATATTCCTCGGCACCTAGAACACTGCTTGGCAAATAGGCACATAAGAAATGGTGAACCTTCATCATCTAGTCTTCTCAGGAGGCTAGTAGGACAAGGATTCATGTAATAGCCTGATAATTTAGTGATTCTCTTTCTTTCTGTCTCCTCCAGGTCGCAAGTCTGGAAAGGGTTTTTACATCTACCAGCCAGGAGTGAAAAGCAAGAATTTGAATTCTGGCATGAATGAAATTCTGACAAGTCTGAAGATGTCTCCTCGGTCTGAAGTGTAAGTTAGTTGTGGTGCCAGGGTGAAAATGTATTTCTCTAGCAGGGAAAAGAATCACTTTTTTCTGTGATCTCCCAGTGCTTAACAGTACACTTTTCAAACACTGTCCTATGCGTTCTTATTTGGTCTCCGTGTCAGTCAGGAGGGTTTGATATCAATACATTCAACTATTGCAGAGCCAAGTTAAGATTTGTGCTCTAGCACACTACTCCAGTACAGGTAGAAGGATTGATTCCACTATCCCATTCCTAGGAATGATAAACCAACCTTTGCATTGATACTGTGAATAACTGGCCGTTGGTCAACAAAGAATTCTTTATAGTGTTTTAGGCATTTACGGACCCCTCTGCTGTGACCTGCTTTCCTATTCCCAGTAGAGGGCCTTATACAGAGCAAGTAGGATTCCTGAACAAGTCCTCTCAAGTTAGAAACCTGGAGTTATGTTCAGGCCCTGAAGAAACTAGTTGAGCACCAACCCTTTGATGAATGTTTGAATTTAATTTAAATTCAGTTATCATTCATTACTTGCATGTAGCCATCTTTTCATCCCTTTGGATGGGATATTCTTCAACCTAATTGTCTTTCTTGTTGGCAGCTCCACCCCAGAAGAGATCCAGTACCGATTAGTAACAAGATTTGTGAATGAGGCAGTCATGTGCCTACAAGAAGGGATCCTGGCTTCCCCTGAAGAGGGAGACATTGGGGCAGTCTTTGGTCTTGGCTTCCCACCTTGTCTTGGAGGTTTGTCCATCTTGAAGATTGATGTTGCTGTAATCTAAATGTTTATCTTGCTCTTTGCCTCAATATCTGATATCTGTTTTCTATTTAGGTCCCTTCCGTTTCTCAGATCTGTATGGTGCCCAGAAGTTGGTGGACCGGATGAAGAAATATGAGGAAATCTATGGAAAGCAGTTCACCCCTTGCCAACTATTAATTGACCATGCAAACAACCCTAGCAAAAAGTTTTATCATTGAACAGGCACGGTCTTACCTTGTGCAGGACATACACTTAACCCCCAGCTGGAGGTAGTGCTATCTCCAAATGCAGAGTGTCTAGATTTATCTGGGTAACCCGGTGGGAAAACACATTCAGCCTTTGCTGTCTAGCTCCTGGTTAAAGTGCCTTACAGTGTAACCAACACTTGGTGGCTCCCAGTTCCACCAGCTGTGAATTGGGTATATTGCACTTCACTTTGAAAGATGGAACTCACTGTGCTCTAGATTCTAAACCCAAGTTGGTCCACACAGCTGGAGCCACCTTTCCTGCCAGTAGCAGGACTGATTGACTTCTGCCAGAATGACTTACATCTAACAATAAAACCAAACTTCATAAGCCCCCCCACTTTTCTTTTCTCTTTGTTGAACCTCCCCTTTTGAACAGCTGCTTTCTGGAACCAGCAGACACAGAATATTTCACTTTAAAGAAGGGTAAGATCCAGAAAATCCCTCAAATCTTCCATCAGTACCTTGAGGAAAAGTCCACGCAGATAGAAAGTGGAACTTCATGGCCATTCCTTTTAATGAGTCCAAGGGTATGTAAATCTGAGTCTGTCAGTGAGTGTTGTCTGTACCTCAGGCTTTCCCAGCTTCGTCCCTGGCTCCTCACAGAACCGTGCTCCCCTGCTGCAGCTCTATTTATTGCTGCTCTAGAGAACTAAGGGACAAGGGGGGAGACAGAATGAGGAGGGGAAAGAATGGAGCTCTTCTCAGCCCCAACCACCGTCTCCTCCATTATCCTTCTCCACACTTGATCACACCATACCACTGAATTTCTCTACCCCTCTGCCTCCTTGAAACAAGGAATCCCGGTGAGCACTGGTGAGACGCAGGTTTTGAATGCAGGCCTGGAGATGGCCTCAATGTCATCCAAGAACCAGGCTGGCTGAGTTTGGAGAAGCTAGTCACCAGATTGCCCACATGGGGATGGACTCTTTGATCCCAACAACCCTTAGAGAGGGGATGCAGTCTGTACCAGTGGAAGAAGCCCCAGCCCCAGTTAAATCTGATCTTCTTTGTGCTGAAGGGAGGTACAAGTGCTTTTGGGCCTCACATATAGAGGGAATCCCAATTAACTGTTTCTTATCAAACTTGTATTTCATGCCAGTGGGTAACCTGTTCTAGGGCTATAGCTTTGGCCAGAGAAAGGCCCTTAGGATTCCAAGATTAGAGGATCCTAGATTTAGAGCCAGAAGGGATCTGAGAAATCTACTCTAACTCCTTCATTATATGTATGAAGAAACTGAAACCTAGAAAAGTTAACTTGCCCAAGCTTATAGGCTTTGAACCCAGGACCTCTTGACTCCATGGACGCAATGCTTTTTGACCCGTTTTAGTCTTTGCTGAAGGACCCTGTACTAGCTCATTAGGTTTTATGGGAGATACCCTTACTTTGTAGGGGAAACTGTTAGGAAGCCGTTTAAATTGCAGAATGGGTTTTAATACTGGCTGAATCTAGTCCCAGCTACTGGGACTTGAGGTCTCAAATCCTAGGAATCCTGAATTATAATTTTCAGACTTCCAGCAGGTGGCAGAAAAGAAGTGGCCGCCCATACCTCTTGGACGTGGGAATAAAGGCTCTATCATGGGGAGCCTGAAAGCTCCTGCCCCAACTCAGAAGTGAAAGCCTGGGACTGACAAGTGCCCTCTGTTTATTTAGAGCCAGTGAGCATGCTCACAGGCTTTAATATCCACAGCTAGGAAATGGAACTCTGGCACTTGCTAACATCAAGCCCTACCTATCCCTTTGTCCTTGTATTCAGAACAGTGGGGTAGATACAGAAATGGGCTGGGGAGGACCTTCCATAAGTAAATAACAGCTCTGGGTCAGTTAACAGGGAATCCTGGGTACCACAAGTCTGGGCCCTTGCCCCAGGCACCAACAGAGGGGTACATTACACACTATTTCTCTGTCCCTTAAAGGAGCAGAAAGAAAATATGCTTAACCTCCAGGCCTAGCACACATAACGCAGTTCAGCTTGCACCCTTCTGCAGTATCCGTGGTATTTATTTCATTGATCCATTAGAATTCCTTAACAGGAGCCAACTCTCTCAACTATAACATTCCTGCTATCCACTATTTGGGCTCCTTTCCCAAGAGGCAAGGCCCTTGGCATGGCTAGGAGCAGGAACAGGACCCAGACCCTTTAAAATACGAAGAAATAAATATCTAGGCAGCCTGATGAGGTAAGATTATAAGCTGGTCTCCATAGGTAGTTGGCTGGCATATGACCCAAAACATGAGAGAGAAGTGATTCCTTTGGGGGCTTGGTGGGGCTGGTTGAGAAAAGTGCATGCATGTATCCAGAGCTGCATTCTTATGTTTTGTATTATAGATGAGAACACTGAAATTCCTATGAATGAAGACCCTCCTCCATGTTAATGCACTGCAACACTCAGTAAGGCTTATAGATCTAGAGCTTAAAGGGCCTTTAAAAGTTGCCTAATCCAACGTCCTTGTTCTATAAATGAGGAATTTAAGGCCCAGAGAAGTTGTTACTTAATGTCAAACAGGTAGAAAGTAGAACCAGGATGATTCCAAGTTCAATATTCTGTCCCTTCTATACCAAGAGGTCTACGAACCCTGAAGTCAAGGTACTAACACTTTTTTCCTGAGCTTCTATGGCTTCATAAGTCTTCCCCCCTTCTACCCTTTTGTCCCGGGTTGGAGACATCAGACAAGGTATTTATGAGGTGGCTACAAGTGATAGAAATCTCACCAATATCTACAGTAAGGACTTCCTGGCTGAGAGAAGGAAACGCTGTAATAAATAGGATCTAGCTATGAAGAGAAGGCAGGAGTAGTATTAATTGGAAGAAACCTGGACTTGAATCTCAAGCATTGAAAGGGATGCTAGAGGTCACATCATCCAGCCTGACTAAATGACTAGTTCCTAGGGTAGCTTGGCTCTCGAACCATCCACAGAAGGGGGTTCATCCAGGAAGTGCCCTTAAATCTTGTCTTCCCAATTATATTACAAGCAACCAGAGTACAGGAACCTTGGCCAAGAGCCCTCCTCTACAAGCTGGAGTTTCGTCATTTGTAAAAGAGGGGGATGGACTAGATGACCTATAGGGTCCTTTCGAGCTCTTGTCAATCAACCTGTGTTCCTACAGTTGTGCTCAGTAATTATCGTTGACAAGACAGTGACTAGAGAAGGGGGCATGGGGTGCAAACAATGCACAGGGGACAGGCTCTCAGTTTGCTTGACCCTTAGTGTGTCCAGTTAATGAGTTAAGGGTGGAGGAGGAAGAGGAAGAAAGGCAGGAAAATGGGGGCTTTTGGGAATAGCTCGGTTCTCAGGCCGAGTACCAAGAAGTACCTTGGGAAGCCTGGAGTTTGGATAATGGAAGAGGTCCCCCCAGAGGTGGGAAAGGATCTGGGAAACCTATTACATCACTCTATTGAGCAGGAGAGGGCAGAGCCATGCTGGTCCTGCCCATTTGTGTTAATACCATTTGTAGCTTCTCCATGTGAAGTCTCTAAAGGAAAGAAATTGTGTTACAGTTCCAGTGGTAGAACCCACGACCAGCTCCGTGGAGCTTGGGTTGACTGTGGAGCACTAGATCTTTGTGGCACTGCCTCATTAGAATCTGGGTCCCCTGGGGGTCCAGTATCAGGAGCAGCTTTATGGAGAGCTCCTTTCATGCCCCTAAGAGGCCCAAAAACATTCTTACTGTCTGGCCTTAGGACAGGCTGCTCAGATCTTGGGCCTCCAACCCTTGATGAACTGCATGATCTTCTTGACCTGCAGCTTGGTGAGGTGGAAGTCATCAGCCAGGATGTCCTCACTGAGCTGCACAAAGATGCTGCCATCTATGCGCTCCCTAGAGAAGAAGCTCACCACATCCTCCGAGAGGCCAATGAAGCGCAGACTCCGAGAGACCTCCTCCAGCGAGAGCGCAGATAGATCAGCTGGGGGTTGCCAAGGGGTGTTGTCCCTGCCAACCCGGCCCACCACCCCTTCCCGTGGGTTAATAGGAGGCACATCCAGGCGCCCCTGGGTGAGGTAGAGCCGTGCTCCACCTCCCTCTGGTACCTGTAAGACAGTAGGGGACAATGGGGTGGGCATCCGCCGAAGCATCAGGCCATCTGGCTCAAAGGCCTTGGTGGGACAGAGGGGTGACAAGGGCCCAGGCCTGCCCACTCCTCTAGGCTCCTGATACTGTAGCAGCTCTGGTTCTGGGGAGCTGCCCTGCCTCACTTCAAAGGGGTCAAAAGGTTCCAGGGCTGTTTCCTGCCATTCAGAGGAAGAAGAGGAGGATGTGGGGCAGGAGGGGGAACCAGATGAGTAGGCCTGACTGGAGGAGACAGGGCCTGGAGAATAAGTAGGGCTTGAGGATGAAATGGGGCCAGGGGTAGAAGTGGGACCAGAGGAAGAAGAGGATGATGATGAGGCAGGACCTGAGGAATATGAGGGCCCAGCAAATGGATTGAGGGCCCCAAATGGAGCAAAGCGTTTCTGAGGGTGTGAAGGCTTAGGAGGAGGGGGACAACTGTGGTATGTCTTGTTGGGGGTCTCTCCCCCAAGTAGTGGTGTAGATCGACTGTTTCCAGGTTCAGGGTAGGCCCAGGAGGCCTGGCTGGGCTGTGTTGTAGAGGGGAGGGGGCCATGAAGTGGGCGACTGGAGCAGTCACCCACCTTGCAATCACCCCAGGTACAGGGGTAACAGTATAGAGAGTATGAATCTGGGGATGGGGAGCAGCTGCCACTCCGAGAGCCAGATCTGAGGGATTAGGGGGAGAGGAAAAAACAGACAGCAGAGGCAAGACAAGGTAGAGATACAGACAGAGAGAAGAGGAGAGTAAATGGTCAGTATATTCTTGCATGACTCAACTGCCCGTTAAATAAGGTCTCATTGATGTGATCCCAGACACATTAACTCCCCCACCCCCAGAGGAGAACTTAGAACCCCGGTGGATTTATTTGCCGTTCATTTCCAAGACCCGCCTTGGGTCAGAGCATTTATGTCCTGTCCAGCTCACAGGTATTCATGGAACCTTAGAGCTGGAAGGGACATTAGAGACCATAGGATCCTAAATTTAGAGCCAAAAGGGATCTTAGAGGTCATCTAGTCCAACCTCTTCATTTTATAGAGGAAGATCTAAGGGTCAGAGAGGATCGTTGCCGTGCACATGGTCATGCAGCTACTTCATGACTAGAACAGGACCAGAACCCAGGTCTCCTGATTCCCAGTTCAGTGCTCTATCCACTCTTCCATACCACCCTGGCTGTCCATGGATCTTTGCCCAAAGAACCAAATGACCCAAAGGAAATGCCTCCCCTTGAGTGAGGCTTCCCTAGGAGGGGTCCAGGAGCCCAAAGAAGGAAGGAGACCAGAGCCATAACCTGGACAGGGAGAATGGGCTTTTGCCCCCAGGGGTTAACATAGAGAGTACTTTCTCCCTGGAGGACCTGCTTCCTTGCTATAAAACTCAAGAGGCTCAAGGCAAGCTCCTCCCAAAATAACTTCACCCATGGTAGGCCTGTCCTCTACACAGCCACACATTCCCTTCCCTCTCCCTAAATTTGTCCCAAGCTCAGTTTCAACTAGTAATAGCTTTGAAGGGCGCTCACCCATCATGTAGGCCAGAAGAGTAATAGGAGAGGACAGGACTGGGGGAGTGAGCAGGCTGAAGCTTGGGAAAGCGTGGTGGGACAGGAGGACTGCCTGGGAGCCGGCCGCCCCTTGGTGGTACTGGTGGAGCATTAAGTAGGCGACACTCTTCCTTGACCTGGAAACAGAAAGTCCTAGAAATCAGGAAGGATGATACCAGGCAGGATGCTACCCAGGCCCAAGTGCTTGAACACATTGGACAGCTGCTGGCCTCGCCCTGAGGCCCAAACCACATAGTATCATTAGGGATCGTCCTAAGGGACATCTGGAACTGCTCTGTAGAGCGTACCAATGATGAACATGGATGTACAAAGTCACCCGTCACCAAAGCCTAACCTATCTCCTTCTAGTCCCCTCCCCAGTGCTCAATTCCCCCAGCCGCCATAGCCCAGAGTCCCCTAGTAGCTGCAAACCAAAATCTGCTTTAAAGCAACAGAGAATTATTCACAAAATAATTTTTCGTAAAAGCAACTAGGTGGCACTAGACCTGGAGTCTGCAAGATCAGAGTTCAAATTCTGTCTGAAACATTTACTAGCTGTGTGATCCTGGGCAAGTCACATAACCACAGTTTGCCTCAGTTTCATCTGTAAAACGAGGGTAATAATTGTACTTGCCTTCCAGGGTTGATGTGAAGATCAAATCAGTTGATATTCATCAGGTATTTTGCAAACCTTAAAGCACTATTTAAATGCCAGCTTTTATCATCATCATCATCATCATCATCATCATCAAAGAAGACCAGCAACACAGATAGATTAGGAGGAAAGAGAAGGAAAAGAATGGAGGGGCAGGAGGTGGGGGGAAGGGGCTAACCCAAATTCTCCTAGGCCCAGACCCTAATAAATGTGGCTTTCTGCAAACACAGTCCTCTGGCATCCCAATACCACCTTATTCACCTCCCCACAGTCCTTTCCTCTGCTTTCTCCCTATCTCTCTCACCCTCAGGTTGTTTTTCTTAAATACACATCCGGAAACATATCCTCTCTCATACCTACTTATTCACACACACACACACACACACACACACACACACACACACACACACACACACACACACACACACACACCCCCCTACTTTCTGTAGTAGTAATAACTCATTTATATAAGCCCTTTAAAAGAGTTACAAAGCACTTTCTCTATAATCACCCCATAAGAGAAGTAGTTGCAAAGATCCTCATATCCCATTTTACAGATGAGGCAACTAAGGCTGAGGTATAAAGTGACCTGCTCAAAGTTATACAGCTACTGAATGTCAAGGTCAACACACACACACACACACACACACACACACACCCCTACCTACTCACTTACTGATACCCTCCTATTTATACATATACTCTTCTGCCAAGCACACACATGCATGCACCCATCTACCATTCCCTTCTGTTCCCCTTGACCGCAGTCAAGATTCTTGATGACCTGGGCCCCATATGCCAAGGGCTCCCCTTACTGTTGACAAGCCCTTTTTGTTGGCTAAAGAAGAAACCTAGGCAGAGGCCAAGGACTCCAGGGTTCCAGGGGGTAACAAGAAGGGAGGGGAGGCTCTTCGAGAATGAGTAAGAAAAGTCTCGGAATTCTAGGGTTATCTCAAAGAACAGTTTCCCTATCACCATCCTTGTAGGGTGGTGGGTAAGTGGGTTAGATTTGAAGTCAGAGGACCTGAGTTCAAACTCTATCTCTGAAACTTACTAGTAGTGTGACCTTAGCAAAGTCACTTACTCTCTGGGCCTCAGTGTCCTCATCTCTGAAATGATGGGAGTTGAAATAAATCAACTCCAAGATCTCTTCCCCCTCTAATTGTATGATTCTATTATCCTAGGATTCTTTCTGCCCTATGACCTCAAGAGCCATCTATACTGGTTGAGATATTTCTGACTCTTCATGATCCCATTTGGGGCTTTCTTGGCAAAGATCCTGGAGTGGTTTGTCATTGCTTTCTCCAGCTCATTTTACAAATGAGGAGACTGAGGTAAACTGAGGTCACACAGCTAGTAAGTGTCTGAGGCCAGATTTGAAATCACAAAGATGAGTCCTCCTGACTCCAGGCCCAGCAAGCACTCCATCCATTGCACCACCTAGCTGTCCACCTATACTTACTGCCTCTGATTTGGGAGGGACAGGCGGTGGGGGAACCTCTGCCTCCAGATGAGCAGTCCCAGCAAAAGAGATGAGGTCTGGCTGTCTAAGTCCTGCAGGTGGTTGCCTGCTTCTGTCCCTGCCCCCACCCTCTGGGTGGCTGTCAGTTGCCTGGTGCGTCCACAGCTCCTCATAGGGGATCTCCACTGGAGGGGCAGGTTCTGACAGGCTGGCCCAATCTGGACTCATATATTCCTGCTCCCCCTCCCCAGCAGGGGGGTAAAGGCAGAGGGAGAGCCGGGGCAGTGCCTCGGGCCTGGGGCCCTGCAAACAGAGCCTTGCCCTCCGGGGGCTGGCACATTCCTCTGCCAGGTCTCCAGGGGCTTCCCGGACTGCTTTGGAGTACTCGTCTGGGTCGAAGCGCTCGTGGCAGTAGGAAGCACTGTCTCTCACCAGCTGTTCCACCTGGGGATCACCAACCAGCAGCCCCTGGGGCAGGGTGAATCGGGGCATGTCCGTGAGCAGCAGGAAATGCAAGGGTGTGGGGCCCTCCCTGCGTAAGGCCAGTCCCAGCACCACCGTCTTGGAGATGATGCTGACTAGCTTGTAGCAGTGGCCCTCGCGCACCGGGTGCAGGTCATATGGGTTGCAGGGGGGCCGGCTGGGCACAAGCACGTTGACGGGCAGCCGGACCCTCTCGATGATGGCCCGCACCGTGTGCTCGCCCTCCTGCATCTGCAGCTCCAGGGGGCTGCGGGTACTGAACCGGCCCCGGCACTGAAAGGGCAGGCTCAGGCTCTCATTGGTGCGGTGGTTCATACAGATGAGGCACGGCATCTTGCCTTTAATGGGCTTGATGGTGCCTGCTGCTCCACTAGTGCCCAGGCCACCGCCGATGCTCCCCATCCCTGCCAGGGACCCTGCCAAGGACCCAGCCCGGCCCAGTTTTCGGAGGATGGTGGTGAATCGGGAACGTTCCTTCGGGGTCTTCCCACAAAGGATTTCAGCCTGGCCCATGAGGGTGAGCTCATCACCCGCATGCAGGGTGAAGTTGTAGACCTCACTGTCCTCACTGAACTCCCCGGACACCACCTGGTGGGCAAAGACAAGACGATGAAAAGAAGGCAGAGTTTCCTGGGGTGCTTTGGGGAGAGCAGCCTGTCTGCCACCCAGGATACTCAGAGATCAGGGGAACTATGCAAACCCTGGGAGCACCTCCTTCCCCTACCCCTTCCTCTCAAAGGTCCCCTCCAGCAGGACTCTCTCCCCCTCCCCCCCCAGTCACCCATATACGCAAAGCTGCCAATTGGTCCTACTCCGGAAGGATAGAGAAAAATAGAATTGATTAAAATTATAAGCAGAATTTTAAAATCTGAAACTAGGGGGAAAAATTCAGCATTTTTGCATTAGGAAAAGCTTCAACAAGAATTACTCTGGGCCTTGGTTAAAGCAAGAGGTATAATTTTTTCTGGAGATCAAGGTAGGCATATTGACCCAGGGATGGTTTAGGTAAAGGCTACACTGGGATACATCTCAGCGACCTCCAGAAAAGCCATCTAGCCCAAGAGAAGGTTTAGAGGTGGGATGGGGGTTGTCATATCTGTCAAGTGGAACTGGAATTAGGCTTATTCTGCCTGGCCACAGAGGTAGAACTAGGTGTGATGGGCAATTGTTGTATTGGAGCAGATTTAGGCTCGATGTCAGGAAGAGTTGCCTAACAACGAGAGTTGTCCTGAGTGGAATGGGCCACCTCGGGAAGGGATGGGTTTGCCCTGCCTGGAGTCCTTAATTCCACTTGCAGGGGATGCCATGAGGGGATTCCTGCTCAGGTATGGATTCAGGTATGGACGCACAGGACTATGACTCCTAACGTCCATTCCAACCCAGGAATTCTCACAAGTTATTTCTATGGAAAAAGATCCCAAACTCTTCCTGTCTCACTTCTTTCTAAAGAAGTCCTCCCGAATCCATCCCACTGAAACATGAGGGCATGTCTTCGTCTTCAGTGGAAATGGAGAGCTAGGTGCTCTCTTCCTCTTGTCAAAGGAAGCTCGACTATGGCTGAGGCTTCTACCTGGCAGAACATAGGGGACACTTGGGGGACGTTGTCTGCTAGGGAGCTGACCTTGACGCTGAAGGTGATGGCCTCCATCACAAAGATGCGGTCGGGAAAGACGCTAGCTACCTCCTCAATGCTGCTGAAATACTGTACCGGCTCCCGAACATCTCGAGGCTGCTCCAGCAGCTTGAACTTCCCTGTGGGAGGGGCAGGAAGATGAGTCTGGTCCCATTTCCCCTGGGGTCCTATCTCCTGTGAAGAGTGTCCTCAGACCCCAACATCCTCAGGGTGCCAACTTCTGTGCACATCTTCCACTCCAGGTCACACTATCTGGGAGGCCTGGATGCTCCCAGGTAGACTCCAAACAGGGCTCCCCTGCACCCAGACACCTCATGGGCCATCATTGTGTGGTTGGCTTAGCAAAAAGCCCAGGCACAGGAGCTCTGAACAGCCAGCCGCTCCTGAGTTACACACGGATAGCTTGTGAGTGAGCAGCCGTGCCAAGCAGTCAGGAGCACCAGAAACGGCCTGAAAGTCTTGGAGACCTGGGTTCTAGTCCCAGCTCTGCACCTCCCAGACTTGGGGAAACCCTTTCAATTGTCTGAGTTGTGGCTTCCTCACCTGTAAAGGAGAGGATACTTTGGACTCTATCAATCAACAAACATTTATTAAGCAACTACTATGTGCCAGGCATTGTACAAGGTCCTAAGGATATAGAGACAAATGGTGAAACAGTCCCTGCCTTTAAGAAGAGACAGCATGTATATATGTATACGTGTATGTGTACACACACACATACATACTTATAGCTATATGTGTGTACACATGTGGGCATGCATATTCATATATACACATAAATGTACATGTTTGTATTTTATATATGCATTTTGATTTTATATATATAAATACATGTAGTGTGTTCTAAAAGTCTTAGTGCAGTTTTAAGCTTTAATAGCTTAAAAACTGCACTAAGACTTGTGGGACACTGTGTGTGTGTTTACATATATATATGTGTTTGTTTATTTAGGCATATTTACATATGTGCCTATCCATCTCTTTTTTGTTCAGTCAAGTCCAACTCTTCATGACCCCATTTGGGGTTTTCTTGGCAAAGATACTGGATTCATCATTTCCTTTCCAACTCATCTTATATATAAAGAAACTGAGGCAAACAGGGCTAAGTGACTTGCCCAGGGTCACACAGCTATAAAGTATCTAAGGCTAGATTTGAGCTTAGGTCTTCCTGACTCTAGGCCTAGTGCAACTGTGGTACCTAGCTGCCCCTGATAGGACCTAGTGAGGTTTATTTTTTTGACTTAAGTATGTGTCTAGGTAGCAGGGAAGGAACCAGCAGACAGGGAGAAAGTGAATATTTGGGAGGTGAGATGATTAAGAAGACAATCTTCTAGGGGAAAAAAAAAAGGGAAAAAAATGTATAAACATTTTAAAACCCATAGTGGCTGTATTTTAATGGAGAAAAACTGAGAACAGCCTGTATGCTCAATGATTCAGGAACACCTGAATTAGGTTCTTCTCAGTGCAGAGGACCAGAAAAAATAACAAACTGGGAAAAAAGGGAAAGAAAGAATGGAAATATCTACTGACTGTAAGAATGTAAAAAAAAACAGTGGCACTGGCAGAAAAGCAACTAGGGGAGAACATAGCAAATACCCAGTTAATGCTGTTATTATCACAATTTAGAAGCTGACCTTTACCTAGCACTTTGAGATTTGTAAAATGGCATATATGTGCGTGTGTGTGTATCATTTGATTGTCTCTAGCCTGTGAGGTAGGTGCTACATTATTCTCATTTACAGATGGGGAAACTGAGGCTTAGAGAGGTGAGTGATGTGCCCAGCTGGTGTCAATGGCTTTGACTTCAGGATTGGTGAGTTCAAATCCATAGGATTCAAGCTGAGGGCTTCCTAACTCCATATCCATCACTCAAACCCTACGCAACCTAGCTGTCTCAGAGTGCTCCACCAAGCCATGAGTCAAGGACCATATCTTTCTAACCTTGGCGTCTAACATCATCTTGTACATGGAGATGCTTAATTCACGTAACCCAAGCTCCCAGCACAAGACTTGGCACATGGCGCATGGTTGTGATTATGGTGCCTATGGACTATTTGTGCTCTACCCATGGCAGAGCCTTCTAAGCTTGTATTGGTCCGATCAGCCACAGTCGGACACACTGTACCTTGACCCCAACCCAGTGCTGTCATTTTGGTCCTCTTCAAGAGCAAAGGACAACCACCAAACATTTGGGGATGATGGTGATATTCACACCATAGACACAGACCCATGAGATTTCACTGACGCAGCATGGACAATTTCTACCAATGGCTTTGTGGAATCAGCTTCATCAGGACCACGGCCACCCTTTGCCTTCTTCTATGCTCTCCTAGACTCTGAGTTCCCTGGCCAGGAGCACATAACTGAGAACTGCCTTGGGGAGGAAGGGATAACAGAAAGCACATCCCAAACCCTGTACCAGCAGCCCGGTGGCACAGTAAATGGAGTGCCTGGTCCGGAATCAGGAAGTTGTCATTGTTCAGCCGTTTCACTCCTGTGACTCTTCATCAACCCTTTGCAGGGTTAAATTGGCAAAGATGCTGGACTGATTTGCCAATTCCTTTTCCAGTTCATTTTATAGATGAGGAAACTGAGGCAAATAGGGTTAAGTGATCTGTTCAGGGTCACACAGCTAGTGAGTGTCTAAGGCTTAGACTTAACCTCTGTTTGCCTCAGTTTCCTCATCAGTAAGATGGAAATAATAATAACACCTACCTTCCAAGGTTGTTGTAAGGAGCTTAGCATAATGCCTGGCATGTAGTCAAGTGCTGTGTAAATGTTTATTATTATTATTATTAGTCAAACTACGGCCCTCCTGGGAAGAAAGAGAAGCTTTGCACTAGCCCCAGAGGACAGACAGACATGGCTAAGGGTGAAGAGGATTCCAGTGCTTAACAGATGATGAGGAGCTGGGAGCAGATGGTCTGAGCTCACCTACTCAGACTAGTGGTCTCCTCACCCTGGGGTCAGAGCAACCCCCACACATACCCAAACCCAGAGGGAGAGAGGGTGAGAAGTCTACCCCCTGACCAGCAAGGGGCCAGGAAGAATTCATTCCATTATCGCCAGCCAAGCTGGGACGGGCCAAAGCCAGAGTACCAGACAGGGGAGGTTCAGGCCGACTCAGGGAAGCTAGGGGAGAGGATGTGGTCAGGAGAATCAATGTAACCACGGTGCCCGATCCACTCCTTCCTCTCCCTGGCCCAGAGTCCAGCTGCTCCATCAGCTGAGCTGGTGGAAGGAGGAGGAGGTGTTTCCTGTCCTTGGGGCACAAAGTAGAAGACCCTAACGTCTCCCCTTGCCCCCCGACCCCAGCCCAGCTGCTTGTCTGTGTGTCCCTCTCCTCTTCCCACCTCTGTCCAGCTGCAAACCACTCCCCCTCCCCCAAGCCCTCGCCAGAAGGAGCTATTCTGACCAGGGGTCTGCGCCTGGACGCAGAGATACCAATCCATATCCCTTGAGGGATGTCTGTGCCACTCACAAGCTACTTGTCAGAAACTGCCCAGTCACTCATTAATCAGCCCTCACATTTTTCTTGTGCTTTCATGCAGATATGTTTCTGCCTTATTTGATCGAGAGTTCCACGACGGTCTCATTCCTTCTCTGTATCCCTCGCTTCACCTAACCCAGAGCCAGCACATAGATGGAGCACTGGGCTTTTCGTCAGTAAGACCCGAGTTCAAATCTTAACTCAGACACTTCCTAGCTGTGTGACCCTGGGCAAATCACTTAACCTCTGCCTCAATTTCCTTATCTGTAAAGTAGGGATAATAATGTCTACCTCCCAAGGTTATTGTGAGGATATAATGAGATATTTTGCAAATCTTAAAGTGCCATTTAAATGTTAGGTATTGTTGTTGTTGTTGTTGTTATTACTACTACTAGATGCTGAGTAAAAGTTTTCTGAATGAATGGATGGATTCTGCTTGGTAGAAAAATCAGCCTCATGCCCCATGACTATAGAACGTTAGTGCTAGAAAGGACCTCAGAAATCTACTCTAATCCTCTCATATAAGGAAACTGAGGTCAGAGAAGATAAGTTACTTCCTCAAAGTCAAATAAAGGTACACAGCTGGTGATAGAGTGTTCTCGACTGCCAATCTCCCATTCCCAAGCTACAGCTTACCCCTACGGAGCCAACCACCAATCCCCATAGTCTAGTAAAAAAGAGATGCCTCCCACCCAACCTCAATCAAAAGGGTCCCTGGTCTCCTCTGTCCCCTGCCAAACCTCTCCTTTTCTCTTTCCTTTCCTCCTGTGTGGTGAGGAAAGCTGGGCAGCCCAGGTCCCTGCTCCCCTCTCCGAGCTCCATCTCTCATTATTAATTCATTGGAAGGAATCAGTGTCCGGCTGACCACACTTAGTGCTTCATTATCCCCTCCCTGACTGCTATAGGGATCCCCTCCCCCACCCTCTCATCTCAGACTTCCTCCCTGCCTTGCCTGCCGGCCTCCCTCCCCCACACCGTGTCAGGCATCAGCACCCAACTTTGGAGGCCTGGATCCTGGGCTCCCAGCTTGTCATAAGCTACTGCAAGCCTTCCCTACTCAGATCACCACCCCAAAGCATTGTGGTCATCTCAAGGGGAAGAGGGAGGGAGCAGGAGGAAGGGGGAGGAAAAGAGAGGGAGGAGGAGGGAGAAGCAGCTGGCCAACCAGGGATGGAGAGAAGGAACAGGAGGAAGTGTACCCTGGATGAGAGTGTTCTGTTCTCTGGTCCCTTGGGAGACTCAAGGCTTGGCAGACCTAACTGTAAGAGGGCGGAATCCCTGAACTTGGATAGCAGCTGAGAGGAACCATCCCAGCAGAGGCTGCAGACCTGAGATTCCCCACCTCAGGCCAATCTAGACACCAGCAGAGTGACCAGCAGAGGAATAGATAGAGCCTAGCTCTGGGAGCCCCTCACTCAGAGGCCTCAGGACGGGTCCTGGGGTCAGAAAGGGAGTACTGTTCCTGAAACTATGGAGCCTACACAATGTCAGAGCTAGGAGGAAACTTGGAGATCACCTAGTTCAATCCCATTTTACAGATGAGGAAACTGAGGCACAGAGAGGTGGAACTATTTGCTCAAGGTCATATACTCACTTGGTGGAGTCAGGACTAATAATAACTCGAACTTCTATGGTATGAATATAAAGAATCGTTCTGATTGGAGGACAGAGCAATGAGCTCCATTCAAGGCGGGTGCCCAGGCCCAGCCATCTCTGTATTACCCACACTCCTTTGAACTTCTCCATCATGCCCCAGGTACTTGCTTGTCCTTTCTCCCCTGTGTTCTTTGTGTGTGTTGTCTTCCCTGACGACACACTCTGAGAGCAGAGATTGTCTTTCTTTTTCATACTTAGTGCCCTAGTGTTTGGTACATTTCCTGGAACATAGTAGGCACCTAAACATGTTTATTAATTATTGAATATTGTCACCATTTTATAGAGGAAAAAAACTGAAGCTTTGAGAGGTTCAGTGATTTATTCAAAATCTCCCCTTGAGGGACATCCAAGGCAGGATTTGAACCCAAGTTCTCCTGACTCAAAATCAAATGTCCTTACCACTATACTAGTATCTCTCAAAGCTAGAGCTTCTCCAAGAATTTAACAAGTAACTAACTAGTCTGGAGTGATGCAGTAGATAGGGCGCTGGGCCTGGGGTCAGCAGGATCCAAGCTCAAATCTGGCCTCAGACCCTTACTAGCTGTGTGACCCTGGGCAAGTCACTTAACCCTATTTGCCTCAATTTCCTCATCTGGGAAACGAGCTGGAGAAAGAAATGGCAAACCAGTCTAGTATCTTTGCCAAAAAAACCCCAAATTGGGTCCCAATGATTTGAATATGACTGAACAATGAAATAACAAGCCTGACTCCCCACTGGGGCAGCTGCAATGGTATACTTGGTCAGGATGGGCTTTTAAGTGGCTGCTACTTGTACAAGTCAATCAGCTACACTAAAAAACAAGGTGCCAGGGTGTCCCCTTTGGTAACACCTATCCCTTGTCATCCTGAAACAAGAAGTGGGTTCCTGCATTCAGCAGTGCCTGGGGGATTGCCTTCACTCAGCCCCTTGGGAGGACCCCTGGAAACTTAGTCTGTCCAGGAGGCTATCTAGCAGGCCAGAGTCTGTGTCCAGCTGCAGTCCACAGAGCCCCCAGGAAAATGGCACAAGGAAAAAGAGAAAATGCCAAGGGGAATGGAAGTAGCCTATGGCAAGGTCCTCAGAACACAGATCCTCTAACTACTCATAGCCCTTTTCAAATAAGTGACTGAAGGAAGGGCCCTGCCTCCAGCCCAGAAGACCAGATTGGAGCGGGGCTCTGCCACTCACTAGCCTTGAACAAGTCACTCAGCTTTTCTGGGCTTCAGTTTCATTTGTAAAATACAGAGTTTGGACCAGATGGCCTCCAAGGTCTCTTCTAGCCCTAAGCCCACGATTCTGGGTTCTTAGCATTCTGTGGCCCCCTTCAGTGGCAAGATGGGAGCCTGAAGGTTCATCCCTTCCCAGCCTCAGCTTCCCATTCATCTTCCTCCCAGCCACCCCAGCTGGCATCCTCCTGCAACTCTGCAGGCCCCCAGGCCCTACCTGGATACTGCAGCGGGATATCGATCTTGGGCCCAATGACGTAGTGCCCTTCCTCCAGGCTGTGGGCTGTCACCGTTGTCCACTGGCGGCAGGAGTGGATGAGCAGGACATCCTGTTGGCTTACCCCCTCCACATACTCCCCTGGGCCAGCAAGGAGAGAGAGAGAAGGAACAGACACAGTAAACAGTGATATTAACTCCCACACTCCCATAGGAGGGTCTCAGCTTGAGCTTCCCCAGGGGCAGAACACTCAAAGGCCCTGCCCTCGGCTGGGCATTCAAGCATAACCTCTCAGCCGAGGGGTCGGCTTCCCACCCCACAACCCCCTTCCCCCCACCATCCACTGTCCAGTCAGTCATGTTCCGAAGTGCGCAGAGAGCAGAAAGGCCACCAACAGAAACAGGCTGGATTCATGTAGCAACTCAGAGCCATCGATAGCTGTGGCTTTCTGCATTTCAGAAGGGGCCCTTCCCAGTAAGGGAGCTATCCCTCCCTTCCTCTGGGCCCATCTACTAACCAGCATCCTCAGCCACTCACCAGTTTGAGATCTCTGGGAAGTGTTGAATGAGATGAGCTGTTGGGACATCCCTTCTCACCCCTTCTGAATTAACCTGACCTGTGATTTCATCAGTATTTCATCAGGACATCCCAAGGAGGAACTTCTTCTACAGCTACTTTCTTCTTGGTAACATGATCTTAGGAAGTTACTTGGGGCACTTTGGAGGTTGTGATTTGCTCAGGGTCACATGGCTTTTATGTAAGAAGAGGTAAGACTTGAACCCAGGCCTTCCTGGTTCCAATGCCAACTCCATCTATGGTGCCATGCTGCCTCAGAGGTATCAGCCTCAAATTGTATCCTATGGCTAGTGACAGGTGCTTTGAATTCCCATTCAATGCGTGCATTCCTTCAACAGCTCATCTCCCATTCACCCCTGAATCCTAAGAAAGGACACTCCCCAACTTCATCAGGAACATAAGATTTAGACTTGGAAGGAGCCTTCAAGAACACCTAATCCAACTCATTTATTTTACAGATGAGGAAGGCAAGTCCTGAATCCCAGGGAAGGAAATGAACTGATTTCCTTACAGGCAGTAAATAGCATTCAGTATTTCAACTCTGGTATTGGACTTTAAATCTAGAGCCCAGCAAGCCCTTGAGGAAGAAACTCCTTCTCCCAAGACCCCCGGCTCCCTCCTCATCTCTCCCATTTTTCCTGGCCAGGAAGACACCAATAATGGGGGAGGGGAGGAGGGAACAAAATAAGAGGAAAAGAGGGAGGGAGGAAGGGAGGAAAGGAGACATTGGCCAAAGGTTGTTAAGAAAAGAGGAGTATAGGGAGGGGTTTGGACTGGATGGGTTCTCTAACCCCAGCAACTGTTACCAGGGCAGCAGAAGGGGCCTAGAATTTTCAATCTGAAGGGCTTCTCGTGGCAGCCATGGGCATGGTGGGGGTGGGGAGGAGAAGGGGACAGCCTCCTGATTGCTTCCTTGCCAGGAACCAAAAGGCTCTATCGGTTCCCCTTTTACGCCCTCCCCAAAAGGATAACTACTACCCAGCTAAATCCTGCATCATTTGGGACTTAAGTAGTATGGCAGGACCACCCTACACGGTGAGAGCTTGCCTGGGATGGGACAACCTTAAAGGAATGGTCCAAGAATTTAATCATAGTTCCCTGCCCCCATCCAACTGCACAGCCAGGCTGGGTACCGTGAAAAGAACAAGGGACTGGTGGTCAGAAGTCCTGGTTTGAATCCCAGTTCTGTCATCTCTCACCTGTGTGACCTTGTTCAGATCAACTTCCTCATTATCAATAAACAGGTGGGACTCTTCCTAGTTCCGAGGCCCCTTCTAGCTCTTCATTCCATGATTCTAGCCCTCCCCGGGAGGTTCCAGCTTCGTCGTCTGCCTGGGGCAGAGCATCTTTCCCCAGAGCCACACGCAGACGTCTCATCGTCTCATCGGTAGGTAGACGCCTGCTCACTCTGACCCACAGGCCCACTGGTCCTATGACACTTTTACCTACACCTGACCTGCTGATGTGCGCTGCTGTGGGCATACACAGAGGTCAAGAGGGTCACAGAGCTGGTCATTTAGTCTAACCCCTTTGTTTTATAGATAAGGAAAATAAAGCCCAAGTGTTTTGCCCAAGGCCACACAGGAAGTAAGCTTCAGAAGTAGCATTTGAACCCAGGACCTCTGACTCTACAGCCAATGCTCTTTCCACTGTACCGACTGTCTTGTACCTGAAACTCCAGTTCCCACCTACTGACACCCTCCCGGGACACACATGGCACACACAACTTCCCATTCCCTCCCTCTTTCCCACCTTTCTCAGCCTCATCTCCAAGTCCTTGGGTAGGGCCGTCCTTAGCACTGAACAGTGTGGGTTGAGGGGAGGGGCTGGTGGGCCTCTCTGCCCCATTAGCATTCCGGGAAGCAAGTGTGCCAAGGCTGGCCAAACCCCTATTCTTCTCTAATACAAAACCCCCAGCCAGGCAGCCAGGCCCCATCCCCACTTCCCCTCCCCCTCCTCACCCCAGCCAGGCAGCCGGAACTCCCCTCTCAGGCAGGCATCCATCCCCTCCTATTCCTCCTTCTACTAAGCAGTTCCCCCCTCTCACCTCCCCAGGTTGGACTGGGGTGTGTTGGGCCACCAGGAGAAGGGGAGGGAAGGGCATGGGAGACATGGGAAGGGGGAGGGAACACTGGAGTAACATAGGATGAGAGAGGCACAGGTGACTTCAAACTGATTGTTGGGAGAAGAGGGTCAGGGATGGATCCAGCGAAGAAAGGGATGGGCCTGGGAAAGTGAGAAGGGTCTGAGGAGCGGGGGTGGAGAGGAGAGAGGGCAGGCAGAGAAAGGTGACAGGACAGAGATACGAACGGACAAAGGGAGGATGAGGGGGACAGGAGGGATCAGAGGAAGGATGAAGAGAAGAAGAGAGGGGCCCTGCTGGAAGCAGGGACGCAGAGCTCAGGACTGTGCTCAGAAAGAGTGCAAAACTTTCCCAGGACCCTACAAAGCCTAGCAGAACAGTGCAGCCCACCGCCCTCCTCCCCAGGCCCCACATGCTTCAGGTCACCCTCAGACACCTCTTCCTGCCTCCTTGCCTTTCGTCTCTCTCCCCCCTCCCTACTCTCCCTCGTTCCTCGACTCTGGCGCCCTTCGGTCACTCCCGGATTTGCTCCTGTTCCAGCATCCTGGTCCTGGCTCACCTGGTCCCCAGGACTCCCCCCCCCGCCCCTCCTCTCCTCTCCCCTACCTGGCCCCAGGCAGGCGAGAGTGGGCAGACGACAGCGGCTGATGATGAGGTCCAAGGGGAAAGCCCCCATACTCCAATGGAGACCAGCTAGCCCGGCTGACAGTTTCTCCATAGCATTGCTCCAAAGGCTCAAGTCCAGGGGAGCAAGGGAAACGGGGACCAGCTGGGGGCTCAGACAGCACAGTCGCAGGGGCTGCCCGACGTTCTTCTCTTCACCCACGACCCCAGCTCTGGGAGGCCAGGGCCAGCCAGCATCACCATGCTCCCCCTACTCTCACTGCCAGCTCGGAGCCTAGCCAGCACCTCCTCTAGCCCCCTTGCTACTCAGAAACCCCACCATCCCTTTGGGCCCCTCTTCTCCCCTCCCTTAATTACCCTCCTCCTGACCCAAGCCCCACCTCCCCTTCCCAAGGCCAGCCCTCTCCTCTACCCCACCCCCTCCTCCATCTCTCCCTCCCAGCTTCCCTTCAATCTTCCCCCTTAGTTTACTCTCTCCATTATTCCATCCCTCCATTCCCCCTCCCTCTTTCCTCATCCTTTCTCTTTAACCCTTCTCACTTCATCCTATCCCTCTGCTTCTTTCTCTCATTCTACTTTCCTTCTTCCTGCCTTCGTCCTCTAGTTCCTTTTTCTAAACCCTCCCCTACCAAGCCTGGGAATACCTCCCCAGTCTTTCCTTGCCCCTTTCTCCTTCCCCTTTTAGCCCCCTCCTCCCTTTCTCTTGACATTCGGGCTTCACTCTCCAGTTTCTTCTCTCATTTATTTTCTCTCCTTTTCTCTCTTTCTCCTCCCTCATCCACCTCTGCACTGTTTCTCAGGTGTCTCTCCTTGTCCTATTTCTCCCACCACCCCCAATTTAGATGCAGCAGAAATCAAGCTCCAAAGACATCAGGGAGAGCCTTGAAGGTACAAAGAATAGGACCGTAGGATTTAGACCTGGAAAGGACCGAACAAATCCAATTCAATTTGAGAAAATGTATTTAGTTAGTGCCTTCTCTGTTCAAGGGTCTGTTCTAGGTTCTGGGGGATACAAAAAGAGGTGAAAGCCTGCTTTCAACGAACTGGTGTTCTACTGGCAGGTAACAAATTCAACAAGCAAATAGGTAAGTAAATTCAAAGACATTTTTAATAGGGAAAGAGCATTAACAACTGGGGAGAGCTAGGAAGACTTTGGAGAAAGCAGCAAGTGCATAGAACTTGGGAAAAAAATCAGAGATTTAGAGGGGAAGGGACCTTAGAGGATGTCTAATCCAATCCCTTCGTTTTATAGATGAAGTTGTTGCTGTCCTTCGTGCTCAAATGGGACTCTGATATCAGAGGGGGCATGCCAGGAAATGCAAGTGAATTGGATTTAAGTGAGGGAGGGCTGTGCTAAGTCACCAGCCTCACTATCTCCTCTGGAGCCATCTGGGTCCAGTGGCAAGGTGCAGATCAGGATGACTGGAGATGAGGCTCAGGTCAGAGATTAGCAAGGGTTACGTAGCTAATATGTGTCAGAGGAGAGATTTGAATCCAGGTCTATGACTGATTTCTTCCATTGTTCTGCCTACTGCACCAAGGTAAGGATCTGGAACAGATGGGGGGGGCGGAATTTGTTCTAGGCCTGGGGAACCAACAGCTTTAGCAAATTGAATAGAATAAATGAAGTAATTACTAATGTGGAGGTGGGTAGAGGAGAGGGCTGGCCTTGGAAGGGAAGGTGGGGCTCGGGTCAGGAGGAGGATAATTAAGGTAGGGAAGGAGAGTGGCCCAAAGGGATAGTGGGGTCTCTGAGCAGGAAGGGGCTAGAGGTGCTAGCTGGGCTCACAGCTGGGAACTGAAGCCAGGGAGAGCTTGGAGCTAGATTCTGAGTGAGATTTGTGAGAGTTTCAAACACCAAGCTGAGGAGTTTTTATCCTAGAGGCAGTGGGGAGTCATTGAAGGATTTTGAGCAGGGAAGTGATATGATCAGACCTGTACTTTAAGATTGCTCTGGCAGCTAGGTGGAGAATTACAGAGTGGGGCAAAGGTAGGAGAGTAGTTAGGAGAAAGAGGGGTAGTCAACAAGCAAGAATGTTTGGGAGCTTTCCCACTGACATTTTAGAGCAGGGGTTCTGAACCAGGAACCATGAAGGTGAAATTTTTTTTTCAATAAATATCTTTTAATATAATTGGTTTCCCCTATGTATTTTATTTTATGCATTTAAAAACATTATTCTGAGAAGGGGTGCTTAGGCTTGACCAGATTGCCAAAGGGGTCCATGACACAGACAGGACCCTAGTTTTAGTGGGTCTTTTTGGTGAACAACTAGGTTCTCTAAAGTTGGTTGTGTGTGTCCTATGTAAGTGCTAAGTAAATGGTGCTGTTAAGTCTTATAGAATTAGAAAGTAGGACATCTAGGCTACCCCAGATAAGAATAGGGAGAAAGCCTCAGCTAGAATTGGAAACTCTGTCTTCAGAGAATTTCTGCTGTCTATTACCTGGTCTGATCAAATGAAGATGGTCTGGTGAGTAGAAGACTAAACTGGAAACTGGAAAACACAGGTTCTTGCCTTGACTTTTCCCTGTGTGATCATGGGTAAGTTTTAAGTCATGCCTCAGTTTCATTTTCTGTAACACTGATAAAATATTCTGACTCCTGGCAGTATGGATGAAACAACATTAATATATTCGTTAAGCATGTATTTTCAGATTTTAAATTGCAGAATCCAATAGGAATTCCAGTTAGAAAGTAGGATGTAATGGGTTGAATGACTGTTCTCTGATGCCTCTACATTTTCTCATGCCTTGCAGTACATAGAGAGAACTATGACTTCCTTATTATTTAAGGACTTGCATTTATAGGGTGCTTTGCAATTCCAAAGCATTCATTCAGTCATCTTGGATTCCCACAAGACTGTGAGATGAGCAGCACAAATATTATTGTCTCCATTTCCCAGATGAGCCTCAGGAAAGTGAGACTCAGAGTGAAGTAACCTATAGGAACTAAAGGGATGCTGAAAGGGACTTTACAGGTTTATGTATTCCAGTTCCTTCATTTATTTGGTAGATCAGACAGCTGAGACCCCAATCATAACTTGTTCCCTATCTACAAAGCCCTATTCTTTGTTATGCGCTTCCCTAAAAACTATAAAAAGGGTAGCTATTCCCCACCTTGGAGTCTTGGCTTTGCTGGGGAAGCTGAGATCCTATTTATTGGTAAATTCATGCTTTACTAATAAATTGACAGTGTTTGGAACTCTGGCTCAGTCTGCCATAATTAACTGTTTATAGCATCCTCTTAGCCACTAGTAGAGAGCACCCCAGATACACTGGTTCTTTTGACTTTATATCCAGCACTTTTCCCTCTGTACCATACCTGTTTACCAGATCTCAATTGCTGTTCCCAAACCAAAGTCTTTTCTATGCTTCTGCCACCAAGAAACCTCCATTTTGCCAAATCTGTCACCAGTCTTGTCTTAGATAATCAGGCCCAGAAAACTGAAATTTCTTTTCAGTTATGTCTAGAAGAACCATGTGAAGGGCCAGGAATGCTTGGGAAGTCAGAAGCTAGGAGGCAAAGGGAGAGAGAATAGGTAAATTGAACCAAAGGAAGAAAAGGGGTGAAGAGGCCATCTTTCCCATAGGCTCTCCATTCATTCTCTTGGGGTTCAGCTATGACTGCAGGGGATGCCTGAGGATCAAAGTAGCACTATTTCCCTTTTTTATTTGTATTTTATTTTTTCTCAATTACATGTAAACAAAAATGTTTAAATTCACTTTTTAAAATTTTGAGTTACAAATTCTCTCCTCTCCCCACCCTTGAGAAGTCAAGCAATTGATACAGATTATACATGTGCAGTCATGCAAAACATTTCATATTAGCTATGTTGCAAAAGAAAACACAGACCAAAAAACTAAGGAATAATAGTTTTAAAAGTATAAAGTAGCACTATTGAAGAAGCTTTTTTTTAAAGCTTGTTATTTTTTCTTCTCTGATGTGGCCTTTAGGGAAATGGGAAGAGATGTGAACCAGGATGAAGAAGGACAAAAAAAAGGATAACTGTGAGGAGAGAGAGAGGGGGAAAGAGAAAGAGAGAGACAGAGACAGAGAGACAGAGAGAGACAGAGAGAGACAGAGAGACAGAGAGAGGACCTAGAAAAGAGGGAACAAGAGAGGATGCTCCTGTCCCCACTCCTCAGTTTTCAGTTGGTGTTAAGTCAGAGAAGGCTCAGAATATACTCACAAGGTGATCATAAGGTGGTAAAACAATTGTTGACATGCCCAGGTGGAAGGAAGCCCTAAGGAGATGGGAGGCAGTCAAGGCTTGGAGTGGTCCTTGTGTAGAGGGAAGCCAGGGATTTCTCTGTCCTCCTCCAGCCCCCCAGGCAGAATGTCCAGCCATGGAGCACAATATCCCATCCCAGTCCAAGAATTCTGAGACATTGTGAGCTGAGAGCTGCCTGTGGAGGAGATTACCTGCAGGAGGGACAGAGTGTGGGGGGGAGAAGTTCTCTCTTCCCCTTCTCATCCTCCCCCCTCCCATATGGCTTTAAAGGGAGACTTCTGGGCCAGGAGGAGGAGGCACTGCATCCATCTGAGAGCACAGAGACACACATTCCAAATCGGATATAAATACAGACAGCAGAGGGATGAAGCCATTTCAAGGATTCATTTCTCTCTGTTTCCTACCCCACCATGCCACAAGCAGCCTCCTTATTCTGGAAGTTCACTCCACTCCTGCTACCCATGCTTTAATTTCTTTACTCCTGAATTGCCAGACTTTGCCCTCCTTCCCTCCCTCTTCTCTCTCCATCCCCTGCTTTTCAGCTTCCTATCTCCCCCATTAGATTGCAAGCTCCTTGAGGGCAGGGGCCATCTTTGGCTTTTTTTGTATTGTCATTGCTTAGCACAGCACTTGGCACACAGTTGACACTTAGCAAATGTTTATTGATTGATTGTAATGGCCTTAATAAATGTTTTGTTGTTGTTGTTGTTGATTTCAAAGAGTGTGACTTCTAGCCATGAGAGGCTGGCTGTGGAGAGGATACCCTGGGAGCCCCTCACAAGGGCATGATCCACCATGGATGCTGCAGCTAAGGAGAGCTAGCTGCACAAGGACTCTATGAAGAAAGGACTTCCTGGCCCTACAATACCACCAGAAGTTGTGAGTTGCCTTTGACACTCATGTATCCTATGATACAAATGAGGCACACTCATGTGCCTCACTACCATTGCACTCTTAAATTGGAGCCCACTCTTCCCATGGTCACTGTGTATATTTGTGGGAGAGAGTACATTCCAGGTTCATGAAGGAAGCTCTGTAGTAATTTTTCTTACTATACCATTTTAGTAAATGCTTTTGTAAAAGCTAATTGTGTCTTCCGGAATGCCACTTAATAGGATACACACCTGTGGGGCTCATGAGTTATAAGAGTAGGAGTGGCCACCCACAGAGTTACCCCTCAAATACAATACCCTCTGGAGATCCAACCTACAAGTTCAAGTGCAAGTTGGGGGAGTAGTCCAAAGAGGCTGCTCCATGAGAATCAAGGATCAAATAAGATAATATTTGTAATGCACTTATCATAGTGCCTGGCACATTGTAGGAGCCTAAATGCTTAGGCTTAATTAAACTCCAATGCTTCATTGGTCCTAGTTTTACCAATATGGATTCTTCCTTCCTAGATTTAGATCTAACACCCAATATTTTGTAGATAGTTACCCAGGTTCAAGATCGTCGAGTTATCCTTGACTCCCTCTCCCCTCTATATCTACTCAGTTCTCAAGTCTTATACCTCTTCTATCCAATTTCTTTTCTCTAATCACACAGCCACTAACTTAGTGTCACCACTGGTGCTTGGACTTAGCCTCCTCATTGTTTTTCTTGCCATAACTATCTCCCCTCTCCAATCCATCTGCCAGCAGCCAAAGAGACTTTCCTAAAGCGCATCATTCCCAAGCTCAATAACCGCCTGTGTCTCCCTATTTCCTCCAGACTCAAGTATAAACTTCCCTGGCATTTATAGATCTCTATAACCAGGCCCCAATTTACCTTCCCAGCCTTATTATATATCACTCCCCTGCATGCAATCTTCAGTCCAGCCAAATTGACTTTTTTGCTCTTCCTCACACATAACATTCCATCTCTCATCCCCATATCTTTGCACAAACTCTCCAATATCCAGAATGTTTTAATGATAATATTTGCCATCTATATAACATTTTAAGGTTTGTAAAATGCTTTACAAATATTCTCTCATTTGCTCTTTTTTGTTGTTTGTTTGTTTTATTTACTTTTTCATTTTGCTAGGCAATGGGCTTAAGTGACTTGCCCAGGGTCACACAGCTAGTCAGTGTTATGTGTCTGAGGCCGGATTTGAAGGCTCTTGCCTCCAGGGTCGGTGCTCTATCCACTGTGCCACCTAGCTGCCCCTCTCTCATTTGATCTCCACGACAACCCTGTGAGGTAGATGCTCTTATGATTCCCATTTTACAGCTGAGGAAACTGAGGCTGAGGAAGATTGAGCTACTTACCCAGAGACACACCACTAGTATGTGTCTATGTGGGATTTGAACTCAGATCTTCATCACTCCCAAGTCCAGTGCTGTTCCTTGCTCTTAGACACTCCCACCCACCTTCCTTTAAAACTCAACCCAGGTGCTATCGAGGCCTTTCCCAATTCACCCAGTGGTTTATGCTTCTCCCTGACAGTTACCAGGTATTTACTCCACGTCTATTTGATGTGTGCGCGTTGCTTCCTTCGAGGAATACCAGCTCCTCCAGGCCATCGTTTCCTTTTCATCTTTTTCTCATCGGGGCCCGGCCAGTCCCGGTACCTGGCAGGCACTTAGTAAATGCTTGCCGATTGAGTTCCTGAGCTGCTGCAGCCAAAATATTAATCATCTGGCAGCCAGCTTTCTGGGCATGGAGACCTACAACCGTTGCTAGATTAGTTCTCAGACAGGAGACAGTCCATCACTGGGCTCACATGCAAAGCCTTCGAGGCAGCTAAGTGGCCCAGTGGGTAGAGCGCTGGGCGTGGAGTTAGGAAGACCCGAGTTCAAATCTCACCTCAGACACTGACTAGCTGTGTGACCCTGAGCAAGTCACTGAACCCTGTTTGCCTCAATTTCCTCATCTTTAAAAAACGAGCTAGAGAAGGTAATTGCAAAACCATCCCAGTATCTCTGCCAAGAAAACCCCAAACGGGGTCAGGAAGAGCCAGACACAATGGAACAAGAAGTCTTAAACCAATAGGCATTTCTCTATTAAGTCAATATGTATTTATTAAATACTTAGAATATGCCAGGCACTGTGCTAATTACTGGGGATAGACACAGCTATAGATATAGATATCTGTACACGTATACATACACAGATACACACACGTACACAATCTCTCTCTCGTACGTATGTGTGTGTATTTCATTGTTGTTCAGTCATTTTGGTTGTGTCTGAGGAATTTGAACTTGGGTCTTCTTGACTCCAAGCCTGGAACTCTATCCACTGAACCACCTAGCTACTCACATATCACATTATTGTCATTAGTCTATTGATTTAATCTCCTCAGGGAGGAAGGTAGGGAGGAAGCAAGTTATTATTCATAGAAGTATTTCCTATAGTGGCTAGAACTGTGTCCTGCATAGTCATTGCTCAATTCAGTTCAACATTTGTTAAATGCTTACCGTTTTTTTTTTCCATTTAATTCTAAAATTTTTCGGTTGTTTTTCAGTCAAGTCCTACTTGTCATGAGCCCATTTAGAGTTTCCTTGGAAAAGATGCTAGAGAGTTTTGCCATTTACTTCTCCAGCTCATTTTATCGATGAGCAAACTGAGGCAAAGAGAGTTAAATGACTTGCTCAGAGTCACGCAGATAGTAAGTGCCTGAGGCTGGATTTGAACTCAGGTGTCCCGTCTCCTGACTTGGAGCTCTACGCACTTCACCACCTAGTTGCCTAATTCTGAATTTTAAAAGCGCCAAGTAAAATGAGTATTTCTGTGATTTTACAGGAAACTGCAAGTCTCCATTGTATATGGTTTGCCTTTCTTTTTAAGTATATAATAAATTCAACACATCATTTGTAAAGCTATAGTATTCCTATACATTTCACCTTCCCATCTCTCTACCTCTCAAAAGTGCAACAACATTTAAAAAGAAAAACTTGTAACAAACATGCATAGTTGAACAGAAACGAATTTGTGCATTCACCATGTCAAAAAATGTACATGTTGGGGCAGCTAGGTGGAGCAGTGGACGGAGCTCCAGCATTGGAGTCAGGAGACCTGAGTTCAAATCCCGGCCTCAGACACTTGACACTTACTAGCTCTGTGACCCTGGGCAAGTCACTTAACCCCAACTGCCTCACCAAAAAGAAAAAAAAATGTATGTTCATTCTGTACATTGAGTCCACGCCCAGTCCATAGGAGTATGTACAGTGTGCTCTGACTGACGCAATGTCCCATAGCGAAGTCTGATGAACTTGCCTCCAGGTATGCATAAAAGAGGTCCTGATCTCTACTTTTTCTGTTTTGTTTTATTTTGGGTTTTTGTTGTTGTTTGTTTTTTTGGTTTTTTTGGTGAGGCAATCGGAGTTAAGTGACTTGCCCAGGGTCACACAGCTAGTTAAGTGTCAAGTGTCTGAGGCCAGATTTGAGCTCAGGTCCTCCTGACTCCAAGGCCCAAGCTCAATCTACTGCACCATCTAGCTGCCTCCCTGATGTCTACTTTAAAGCACACGCAGGTATTCTATGACTGTGCCCTGTTTGCTTACTGTGTGGTGAAGAGGGGCCTTTTGTTTGGTGGCTGACCCGAAGTAGGTGTGCCTACAAAAGGACCTAACTGGGCATTTCTCCCTGGCTGTGTCTGACCTGCTGTAACCCTCTGGGTCAGAGAAGTTAGCTGTCTCGCCCAGAGCCTCCATGAGCGCATGAACACAGTCCCTCGGAGCCTATGGCCACAAGCCAGTGTCTAGGTAGAGTTGCCTTCTGTTTACACCTTCTTTCCTTTGGTGCAGGGTCTTGTGAGATTTCAGAAGGTAGAAGGAACAGAGTTTAAGTGGCAAGAGTCCACATCAGAGTTTGCTGACTGCTGAGGCCCGTGTGCCAGTACGGCCCTGAGCAGCAGTCTGCTTGACCCAGCCCAGCAATGAATGGCTGAGAACAGCACGTCCTCCTGCAAGGCAGAGACTTGTCTAGCACTGACAGCATTCAAAAATGGACTTGGTGAGGACAAATGACTTGTAAGGTGTAGCACAGGGAGTGTGTTCCTGACAATGAGAGAAATGCTTTGTAACTTCTGTTCTTCTGATATCTTCTCAGTAAATACCCCTTTGTAAAAGCTAATCATGTTAATTGGTTAAATTGATAATAGGGCATTAATCACTGGGTTAATCAGTGATATAAATGAAATATCAACTGGCACTAGTGATTGATATTGGGGGGGGGAAGACACTGGAATAGGAGCTTGAACCAACCCCCAACCCCACCAGGGTACCCCTAGAATCCTGAGGGGAAGATGTAGATAGCTGCCCTCTGGGATCCAAATTGCCAGTATGAATGAGAATCGGGATAAGGACGCCACACACACACCCTGAGTTTTTGAAGGCTGCCGGTCTATTACTTCTCTCTCAGGGATAGGGAGATGATTTTCAATTGGTCTTCTGCAGTCCTAGTTGGTCGTTTCATTGATCAGAATTCTTAAATCTTTCAAAGTTGTTTTTCTCTGCAATCTTGTTGTTATGGTATAAATTGTTCTCAGCCTTCCGTTCACTTCCTTCTATATCAGTTCATCCAACCGTCCCGAGATTTCACTGAAAGTCGTTTCCTATGGGGCGATAGTCCAATCCTATCCATACACTACACTCTGTTCAGTCACTCCCTGATTGATGAGCACCCTTTTAGTTTCTAGATCTTTGCCATTACAAGGGCTGCTGTAAATATTTTTTTGCACTTGGGTTCTTTTCCTCTTTCTTTATCTCATTGAGATATAGGCCTTGTAGTAAGTAGCATTTCTGGTCAAAAAAAAAAAAGCCCAGTTTAGTGACTTTGGGGCATAGTTCTGAGCTGCTTTCCAGAATGGCTGGACCATTTTCCTACTCCACCAAAAAGCACCTACTGTGTTCAAGAAAATGTTCTAGGCATTACAGTTACAAAGATGAAAACCAATATATCTCCTGCCTCCAAGGAGTTTGCATCCTAGTGGAGAGGAGAGGCGTGCACATGAATTAAAATACAAGTTAGAATATGATCAAGTGGATGGAATGAGGCAAAGAACATGCCAGAAGTTCAAGAAACGAGGGATCCTATCCAGCTGGAAAATTACAGAATTAAAGAATTTCTGAATTGGGAGAGAATTGAGGAATCACCTAGCCCAACCCATACATGAAAGGAATCCCCGCTAGAACATACCCAACAACCTTGGCTGGAAGATTTCATTTCTCAGGGCAGGCCACCAGGGCCCCTTTGGGATGGCTCCGATTATTAGAAAACTTCTCTTGACATCAAACCTAAATTAGCCTCTTTGCCATGTCCACCCATCACGCTTGGTTCTTCCCTCTGGGACCACGCAGAAGAAACTAATCCCCCCTCCATATTATATCCTTTCAAATACTGAAACACACTAATCACATCCCCTGAGGTTGGTTTGGTTGTTTTCTCCTCCAGGCTAACCATTCCTGATTCTTTGGACTAATCCCCCCATGGAGATGAAGGAAGACTTTGTAGAGGATATGACAACTGAACTGGACCTTGAAGGATTTCAACAGACTTGTAATTCTGGGCAAGGCTTAGGGGGTGGTGTCAGTATTTTAAGCATGAGACAGGAGAGGTCAGGATGAGATGGAAGAAATGACTGATAGTCTACTTTGATGGGAATGGGGAGTTTATAAAGAAGAGTAGTATAATATAAGATTAAAGAGGTACCTACCTGAAGTTAGATTATATGAGAGGGGCCTTGATGCCAGGCTAAAGAGCTTAAGTTTTATCCTAAAATTGAAGTCCTTTTAGAAGTGGAGTGACACATTCAGAGCCACCCTCTAGGACTGCTATTTAGATACGAATGGGAAAGATGGACTATAAAGGGGAGAAACTGGAAGTAGGCAGAGCTGTTGGGAAGTTAATTGTAAAACTCTACATGAGGGATGGTAAGAGGCTGAACTAAAGTGGAATAAAGAGAAGGGCACCAGTGGGAAGAGGTGTCCTGGAGGTGGTATTTCCAGAATTAGGCATCTGATTGAATGTGGGTGTACTTGGATCTTCCCCAAGAAGGCTGAGTGGCAGCCAGAGTACTTTCTTTGGGGACTGGAGGCTGCCTTTTCCTCTAGCTTTCCTCTAGAGCAGATGTTTCCAAACTTTTTTGACTTACTGTCCCCTTTTAGAAAAAAATTAGTGACTCACTGGAAATCTACTTTCTTTAATCCTTTAGTGTTTTTTTTTAAAAAATTACATCTTTTCAAAAAATATGATTTTTTTAAATGATGCATCTTAAATTTAATAATTTATTATAAATTTGTGGGTTTTTTCCTGCATTGAAGTTTTGATGATGCAATATTACATCATATAACTGTATAGTATTGTGTTATAAACAAGTCATTACACACACATATTCCTGCTGGACTTCCTGACAATGAGCAACATGCTTGCCAGTCAACACTTGTTTGTTAAGATCTGTTGACAGACTTGACCGTTGATTGGTTATAACTTTCGTTTTATGTGTTTATTTAGAAAATAATGTAATGACTGTGACTTTAACTCTGTCACACAACAGATGAAACATGTACTAACAGTTTTTCAAAATTTTCTTTTCTTCTCTTCTTTCCTTACATTTTTACCACCCCCTTATTTTTATTCAATGCCCCCCCAATTGCACCTGAGGCTACTACAGCCCCCCTGAATCATTCCAGCACTCCCAACGATCCCACTTTGGGATTCTATGCTCTAGAGGATCCATCATCCCCAGAACCTGTTCTGCCTAAGCACAGGTTGGTGCCTCCTTCCAGCTTTCCCCTTCCTTTCCTTACCTGTCTAATCAGAGGTTCTCCCCTTTATCCTTCTCCTTCCCCTTCACACTATCCTTTGTCCAAGATTCCCAGGGCCTGGGGGTCCAGAGTCATCACATTATAGATTATTAGAGCCTGGAAAGACCTTAGACATTATCTAGTTCATTGATTTAATTCAAACAAATATTAATTGATCATCTAATTTTGGAAAACACAAAGAATAATAATGTGACACATGTATGGACTATACACACAACCTTGTGGATTTCTCATATGATACAGCATCAGAGTAGTGTAAACAGCCTATATATTTGTATATATAGTGTAAACAGCCAACATATTTGCTGCCTTCCTTAAGCTTACAGAAAGGCAGGGTGCCACTCTATTAGTCAGCCAGTTAGGGACAGTGCCAAGTACATAGAAAGCACTATAAAAATATTAGCTATTATTATTAATTTGCCCACCCGGTGATGCCACCGGGCTAGTGGTCTCATTAAGATCTCTGTTGCTTGTACAAGATTTCCCACCACCTCCAAAACCAACTCATGCCATCTAGCTGCCCAGACCTTTACCTATCCCCCAAAGCCCTGGATTTTGAGTCAGAAAAAGGAAGGTCAATCTTTATGGTCTTCCTATTTCCCTGAGAACATTTCTTCTCCCTTCCCCTCCCCGGCTCTGGGATCCTATGCCCTGACCTCATTCTACCACTCTTTCCTCCTCCTACAGACCTGGCCCAAGGTCCCAGGGGGAGAGAGGTATCAAGTTGCTCTCTCCCTCCCCAGGCCAAGTGCCAGGTGTCAAGGACACAGACCTCACTTCCAAGCCCTGCCTGTGGTGGTAGGTCAGCCCCCTAGCTCCCCACCCCTCTGACCTCATACTTTCCAGCCTTCACTTCCAGTTGGAGGCTCCCCAGCCCTGTGATTTTCTTATGCTACGGATGACCTTTTCCAGATGTCCTACACCTGCCACACTCAGGCCTTCTGGCCAAGGCTGTTGTTAATGCACCCCACAATCAGCCCAATCTTGACCTCAAGGCTTAAGATAAAGTGTCTCAGCAGCCCACCCCAGGCCTAACCCCCACCTCATCCCAAATTCTGCCATCCGCAGTTTCCTGATGTCTCTGCTCTGGGCAGGTTGTTGTATCTATTATGCACATTACCTGATGAGCATAGGGGTTGGGAAGAGGAACTATTCTGGCAATGAAAGAAAGATGAGAAATAGAATCATGGATTGGTAACAAGGTACAGCAGAGAAAGGACTGGATTTGGACTCAGAGGACCTGGGTTCCAATTCGGTTTCTGCTGCCTATGAGCTTTGTGACCTTGGGCAAGTCATTTCCCTTCTCTTAGCCTCAGTTTCTTCATCTGTAAAATGAGAGGGTAAGAGTAGATGACCCAGTTTTCATTCCATCATCCTAAGTCTAAGGTTATGATCCAAATATGATTTTACAATAGAGACACTGTCGTAACATGGCCTAAGTAAAGGCCTGAGGACCAGTTTTTATAGAAATGATTGTTAACAAGATAGTAGCTGATTGGTACCTTCTCTGAAACTTATAATTGTAGACAATTGGCTAGAACACAGAGAGGTCACACAGGGTCGCATAGCCTGTATGTGCTAGAGGCCAAGGACTTGACCCCAGGTCTTCTCATTCTGAGGCCAGCTCTTAGAGGGGATACACTATGCCATCCTACTCTCACAGTAGGGGCTTAAGGCCAAACTTCTATACTGTTGCTGTTCTTCAGTTGTTTTCAGTACTATCTAACTCTTGGCGACCCCATTTGGGGTTTTCTTGGCAAAGATACTGGAGTGGCTCACTATCTCCTTCTCTAGCTCGATTTACAGATGAGGAAACTGAGGCAAAGGGTGTTAAGTGATTTGCCCAGGGTCATACAACTAGTAAGTGTTTGAAGCCAGAAAGATGAGTCATCCTGACTCCAGGCCTGGCACTCTACCCACTGTGCCACCTAGCTGCCCCTAATTATATATAATTGACCCCAAACAAGATAGGACAGTTGAGAGACTACAGGTACAGGTACATTATTAGGCAAGAGTCACTGTATTGGTTGCTTTTGCTGAACTGTTTTTCTTTTTTTTTTTCCCCTAAAGGAGGGCTTATTCTGGGAGGGGAATATTAAAATAACTGTGGTATAAAAATAAAAGGCATCAATACATTTTTAAAAAATTCATTCTTAATCAATTATAAATGAAATCATCCTGTCTATCACACAGAGTAAAGCTTTAGAATCGGTAGGAATTCCTCAAGC